GTCTTAATCTCACCACGTCCATAGAGTCCATGCAGATTGTTTCAGGGGAGAAACACCTATGCAAATACAGACTTCAGTGGAAGCACTTTTGACAGTTGCATACAAACATGGGAGAAGGAGATGTTTAATAAAGTATACCTCAGTATTGTTGGAGAGTCTCGATAACAATAAACTGAAATTATTTTGGCCATGGCAATCCAACTGAAATGAAAAGACTCTTTAAATGTGTTGGTTGGTCTCACATTGGTCTCACGCTGTTCTCCGTCAGTCTACCACCCAGTCCAACATCCGCACGATGCAGTGGTCCATTTTCTACTCCTTCCCCTCTGTGTTGTCCCATTTCCACTCTGCTGTATGCTGTACATCAGAAACACGTGCATGTGTCTGGCAGCAGTGGGCAGCTGGTGGGCTCTGTGCATCTCCATTGCAATAATGGGGCTTTGGTCGGTCAGCCCACAAAAACAGACGGTGGATATGGGGTAATCACTGGAGGGACCACCACACAGAGCTGCACAGACTGTGGATGGACTTTTTGCCTGCAGGCTTTGAAATAATGTCTAAGAGCAATGCTTTTTAGTGATTGGCCTTACTCCAAATCCCAATTTAAGACTTGGACAGAGTTTGCTGTTATGTTATAAACTGTGTGCATTCACATTTTGGATAAGTTATAAGTTAAGATGGTAAAATCTATCATATTTTAAACTTATTTTGGATGTGGGGTCAAAACAGCAAATGCAGCATTTTGATTCAGCATAGATTTAGGCTCAGATAGTATATTGTGTGACGTTATGGGTCTAGAGCATTACTGTAGAGAAAAAGTAAGGGATGTTATATACCTTCTTGCTTACTGCCGAATGTACCAATTTTTTCCTCTTTCTGTGTAAATGACGTTGTGTTGGATCGAGGACAGAGTCATTTCATTTGGAGCCCATCCAGCTGAAGGCATTTATGTTGTGTCCTTGCACTTGGAGGAATAGAGAGCTGTGAGAGCCTCTGTGTTTTTGCTGAAGTCTGTGCACTTAAGCATGTTAAGACATCTGAAGTCAGTAGGTGTTATCATTGCCCCTCTGTCTCACTGAGCTGGTGGCAAACATGTTCTATGATGACTAATCAAGAGAGCACAGTGTGTGCCTGGTTATACTGGCTGCTTTCAAGCCTGTCTTGATCTTCTTAACGGTGTTATCCAAACAGCTGTCTCCTTAAGCTCTCCACTTCCACACATAAAAATAATGCACAAATGTTGTATGTCAGACCAAGGACCATGCCTCAGACATCAGAGCGTTCATCAACATGTCAACACATTCTACATCAACAACAGAGATCAAGCATGGACTTGGTACATGATATCACTACTGGTTTTAAGAACTCAAGGACAAGCCTCTGTTTTTTGAGATGTATAAAAGTGATCAGTCCCAAAAGGCAAATGTCTCAATCATTGAACTACTGTGGACAGCGGAAAATATGTAATTAAAGAGTGACAGGTGAATGAGGCAAACCTATCACAGATTCAAAAAGCTCAGCTAATGCAGGGTGATTTGAACTTGTGTTTCAATGGCCACTCCTTGACTGACTTGAATGCAGTACGCTCCTGTAGCACCTCAGTCCCCTGGAGGAGGCAGCTGTTCCCTTGTTTTTGCCTCACCACGGGCTTCTCCTCTCCCCAGGGATTTACATGACACCTGCTGAGCCTAAATGCTGTGCTCTTTCCCTCTGCGCTGCCAAAAGAGACAGTGATTCTCATTCACCCATCTGTTTGGAGACACTTACAAAGTCTGCGTGTGGTGGCAAAACTTGCAGGAGAGAAGTCTGTGCAGAGATGAATCACTGCTACTCCACTTGGCGCCCTTTTCTGGGACATTTCCTGTGTCAATTAAACCATAATGCCACAATAATAGTTGTCATTTATTATGTTCAGTTTTAGTGTTTTTTATTCTTATGATTTTCTGATTGACTCAGACGGTTATGATGTCATAGTGATGTCTAATGACAAAACTTTTACATCCTCTTCCCTCATATAGCACCAATTAGTTTCATTGTACATGACAACTGCTATCCCATATCAGCTGCAACACATCTATTTGACCTTTTCCCCAGAGAGGCGCCATTTATTGGATTGTGTTTCTTGCACACACTTGTATATTTCAACTTTGATGTTTTTTTGTTTTTTGACAATTGAACAAACTGGTGCTTTGCCTCTATGATCGTTATATAATATTTTTAATCAATGTGCCAGCACCACAAAAAATAAAACCCACAATGACCCTATGTGAGAAAACTTCTTCAATGTCATATATCTGTTTTGCAGAACAGAATAATTTATTATTCTATTAAATATTTGAGGTCAAGCTGTGTTTATGCAAATATGTTCAGAGACAGACACTGGATATCACCAAAGGAAACAGAGGCAAGATAAACACAAGACATCGTGACTAGACTTAAAATTACAGCGATCATGTCATGGAGACTAAAAAATATTTTAATGAATTAAATATATGAAGTAAGCTATATTAGAATACTGTTTCAAACATATTTCCCACCTGCATGTTTTATTTCATTGTCGTAGTTCACACGGTTCCACTCTATATAATGGAATACACATGCTGCACAGTCTACAGTCACTACTTTGAATGACAGACAGGGGGCGACAGAGGACCTGTGAATCCACCAGAGGGATCCAGGAGGCATTTCAATGCGATAGGTCCCTGCCGCCAGATCCTGCGCTTGAGCGGTCACTGTGCCTGCCTCACTCACGGCGACACAGGCTCTCACACACGCTCTCATTCACCACTGCGCTCGCTGCTTCATTTCTCTATGAGGCTGCACTGAGGGCTCCAGCTCCCCCGGCTGCGTGCGTCTACCGGCTACAGTTAAGGACCTAAAGGACAGTTCAGTCCAGGGAGAATCAAGAGGAAAGATCCAGCTTCAGATCTTTTTTTCCACCGGAGATTATTTGCATCATAAAAAGCTTTGGAAAGAGGACACGCAGGCTTCTGACTTGGCTGTCGACCTAAAGGTGCCATTTACTCTGTTTAAATGTGTGCGTGTATGTGTGTGTGTGTGTGCGCCCGCTCACCTTTTCACCATGCACATTCATTGGCTTCCCTTTCTCATGCAAATGCAAATTGGCTGGTCGTGCTGCTTCCATGTCTTTGAGGGAGACGCAGATGGAGCAGGTTGCTCTAATTCAAGGTCTGCCTTATTACCATGCGCTGCTATATAAATTAGTTCAGCTTGGATGGATTACCGTGTGTGCATACAAGAACTGTCTGGCTCATACAACACTGGCAAAGAAACCTTCTCAATAATTGATAGTCTGACATGAGTAAACTTCACACATGTCTGAATGGTTGCGCTGTACATTCGATTGCACACACTTTTGGCTTGTCTGCAGCGTGTGTGTGTGTGTGTGTTGTTGATGTGTAGTGCTCAGATCATGCATAGATGTCATTGCCACAGGAGCACAGCGGGGGTGAATGGGAGGGAGGGGGCTAAATGATATCTGGCGCGGTGCCACAGAACTGAAGTTGAAGGTTAGATGAATGTCTTTTGTATGTGATATGTGAATTTTATTTCAATGAAAAGTGGGTTGTGGAAAAGTCTTTATTCAGTCCTGTCAGTCTTGGATAATTCCAGGGTAAGATTTTTTTGAGGGTTGAACAGTTTGATATAGATTAACCAAAATTCCCCCTGGGATTCATATCTTCTACTTTCATTACTCTGTCATTCCATCACTTCACCACAGTAGGAAGCTGAGCTCACATCATTTACTGAGGTCCAGCAAAAGACTTGTGAAGGGGACTAGAAAGGGCGCTCAGGTGAGAGGGGGATGGGCACCGTAGTAAAATACAGCTCCCCAGAGAGAGAGAGTAGTTGATTTATGTGCAGACATTTCAGTGCACGTGTTTGGCCACTGCTCCAATTAGCACCTCCACCAATCCACACTTTGACTGAACTCTGAATATGGCTAAAGGGCAAAGCATGGTGTGTTTGTAGAATTTAATCCATTCACTTTGATTATTGTGGAAGCTATGGGACTCTGGGACTGCATTCAGCATCTTTTACTCACTAGAGATTCACAAACTGTAATGAAGACACAAACTTAAATGATGAATGCAGTGATTGAGTGAGTGGTTGAGTGAGTGTGTGTGAGTGAGGGTTGTCTCTGTCAGCCAACCCCAAGGCAGCTGTGGCTACAGAAGTAGCTCATCACCACTGAGTGTGGAGTGAACCAATAATGCACAAAATTGTGAAGCAACTGGAAAACGTCCATGTAAAACTAATGCATTATTATATGTTATTAATTTTCTAGACATTTTATCACACTGTGTGGTGTGAACAAAGTCATATAACAGTGGGTTTAGTTTGGGTACACATTCCTATTAGTTGTTATGGGAATTGTGACTGTGATACAATATTGGGAATACCAAAAGTACCAAAGCAAATTATAGGCATTGCACTTCTGTAAAACCTGACCCCACAGCATACTATCCATAAAGTGTATTTGGGGTAGTATATTATAAAAATCAACACTCATTCAATCACAATGAAATGAACTTGTCCCACAATTTCAGAATAATTTAATCATGAATCAGACACATTTGCTGTCAAAGCTGCTTTATATTTGTTCTGCTTACTGTGAGTGATTTTCACACCCACACACTGATCATACAGACAGTTTGTAGCATAAATACATTACTTCTATTTAAGTTGGGAACAGGCTTTTCATTGCTTCTCCAAATTGCATGAGATGATCTTTTACTTTTCTTCTAAACTTTTTTTTTCTCCACATACTGCAACTTGACTGATATAAGACAATGATTAATACTTACTTACTTACTTACTTACTTACTTTCCCACCAAACCAAGTAATAATTACAAAAACAGGAAAACTCACGGTGCACTTGTATGTCAATATTCAGCATCAGCATTTGGTAGATTGAATGAGACTTTTCTCAAAATTTAGAAGTCTTAAATTGTGACTATATTGTATTTGTTCACAGGTGGTGTTATAGACAAGGACTTGCGGCACTACCTCAACTTACGCTTCCAAAAGGGCTCAGTGGACCACGAGCTGCAGCAGATCATCAGAGACAACCTCTACCTCCGCACCATCCCCTGTAAGTGCACCATCCATTCTTTGGCCAGGCACTGTTCAGCCTTTATTTACCTTTCCCTTGTTTGCTTTAGTCATTACACTATTTGTTACCATGTTCTTATTTTGAAATTGTCTAATTAAAGGATTACTATTATGTTGTCCTCTAGTCTACCTGATCAGACACATCAAACCCACAGCACTCTTGTGTCACTGATCTATTTATCTTCACTCTTCCCTGGGTGAATAGTTCATACTTATCTTGACTCAACATCAACCCTATACCTCCATAATCCCTCCAACTGCATTGCTCAGTGTTTCTAGTTTCCTATTGTGTTTGTATAGTTGTACTTTTAGCTGGATCTGTTCTTTACTTTTTTACTTTTAACTGAGTGGTGTATTAAAGGTGCACTATGAAACTTTTCTGGTGGAGGGTCTGCCATCTGCTTGTCTCCAAGTCTAACATTAAACTTAGCTACGTCCATGAGACAAGCAGGTGATGCCCCCAGGCCAAATTACAAGTTGGCCTGTCATGATAACACATTTTGAAGTGCGATATATTGCTGAAGAAAATATAAACAAAAAGATTATACTATTCTAACCCAACCATAAAGCAGAATTATGCCCAAAAGGTATTCTAAATGTACACTATTGTTAAAAAATGTAGCTGCAATAAATAAATAACAGATTGCACTTTTTCTGTACTACAAGGAGATTTGAGTGTTGCAAAGAAAAAGTATCCACGATAAATACTGACCCCCAAAAATTATTGTTCCGTCTAACATATATTATTAAGTCAATAAATTAATTACCATCACAGGCCTAGTTACAGGTAATATTTGATGAGAGATAGCTGTGGTCACAAAAAGTGCCTTTCAAGTTATTTTTAGCAATATAAACACCTATAAATGAATACATGTTAGAACTTTAATGCCATACTGGGAAACATTCCTGGAAAAGCAATACCATCTCCATGGTAGCTGACTTGTCAGCAGAAAAGTTACATAATGCACCTTTAATTAAATGTATATTTTTTTACCCATATTGTCTGACATAACTTTGCCCATTTATCGACTGTCCAAATTAGGGGTGGGAATCACAGAATCCCTCACGATTCAATACGATGCACGATACATGGCTCATGATACGATATAGGCCATAATCAAATATGTTGCACATGATACTCTGTGATATATTATTTTCTTAAGACCAAATACAATTTGCTTAAAGAATCAATTACCATGACAAAAAATGCTCCTGTCGATCCTGGAGATGTCAGTACTACAGTTCACAATAACGATACTCTATCACCAAATTTGGTGTCACGATATTTCGATATTATTGCACACCCCTAGTCCAAAATTCTTTTTGCTCTTTAACTAAAAATGTCTTGGTAGATTTCTGCTATAATACCTGCCTTAAACCAATGATTGTAATTTTAAGTGGAGTGAGTGTGTGTGGCTTCACTGTATCAGCTCATACAGTAATAAACCATGGATATGATTACGAGCTCATATGCTAACATCACACCAGCCTCACTCAGCCATTAGCTGCAGCTGCTGCATGCTGCCAGCTCTCCTCTGAATCCTTAATTGAAGTGCATTCTTCAAGGCCAGGGATACGGCGGTGGTTTGAATGGGGCTTCTTCTCTCTTTGAAGAATGCACAGTGAAATGGGAGCTAGCTATATGTTTGTTACACAGGGGCAATTTTCTTTAATAACCCTTTGTGAATCAGCTACTGTCAGGTACTCGAAATGGAGAAGTGAATAGGCAAGAACACACACAAAAAAAAGACAATGGGAGAAACAAAAGGAGGCTAAACATAAATAACTGATGTTATAGCTTATATGTTCCAGTGAGAGGCACAGGGAGGTTAAGTGTGTTTTAATGAAGACACCACAATGTGCTTCAATTCTGCACACTTAGTCATGCTTTTTATATTGTTTAGATAACTGAGAGGGTAGATCATATGTGCTGTTTGCATATGGAAAATTAACTATATTGTTTGTGCATGCTCTGCTCCATTCTGGTAATGTTTGGCCTTCGCCTTTTAAGAAGAAATCAGTTGATTATTGTCTGTGATGTGAGTACAAGAAGGTGTAGTACTAACTTATGTTCTTTATATAGGAGTGATTTTTTATTTTTATTTTTTTCTGTTTTATAATGTTACTCTGTGAAAATTTAATAAGATAAAATTCATTCCAGTAACAATTTTTTTTTCTTTTAATTACTTGATTTTGCACCAAGGAGATTTTGGTACAAATGATTTGTTTGGATAATGAACCTAATCCAAATGCAGTGTGCACTAAAAACACTTACATTGAGGCAAATGCCATTAAACTACCTCAAAATAGTTTCTTCCAACAAAGAGAGGGTGATGCAGCGGTTCAGAGAGATTCATGATGAAACTCAGTTGGACACAAATGATGGGGAAGAACAGACAGAACAGGGCTGAAGTTGTTCATCACAGATATTTGAGTGTAACCCTTACATATAAAAGGGACATTTTAAAGAAAGAGACAGTAGGCACACGGAGGAGGACATTGGCACTCATACCAATCAAGGCTGCCGGACAAAGGCGATGAGGGCAGCCAGAGCAGTGCCAGCTCTTAGACAAATTGCTTGGTTGAAATCCAAGGTCAGAGCGTTAATAGCATGGGCCCATGTGAAATCATGCCTATCATCTGGTAATCCACACAGATTCGATGGGAGATTCACTGAGCTGTGAGGACCTAAAGAGCAGTCTCAATCTAGAATAAAACCTATTGTCTTGGAGATTTTTATATAAAGGAACTACAAATAGATTCATATTATAGGCTTTTCAGTTGGATCTAAATTTGCATTCATCCATTGTTAATGTCTGCACTGACTGGAAATCACACAAGATTAATATAGACGAAATGGAGGGCACAGGACTGTAGTCATTGTAGTACTCCTGTGACTTTAGAGTTGTGGGCTCCAGAACAGACTAAATGTCCCATCTTAAATACAAAACTACATTCAGAGAGAAGTCAAAGTTTTATATAAGACACACACTTCTGTAGTCACAGCTGCCCTGGTGTAGAATGATGGAAGCAAGGCTCACAACCATTTGACCATTACCACCATGAATTATCTATTTTTTGGAAATATATAATGTATCCAGCACAGGCTCTGACACACTCTTTACCCATCAGTGTTACCTGTCCTCCTCAGGTTGACTCCTTGGATCTGTCCTTTTCTCCCACCCACAAGCCCACATTTGTGTGTGACACACTAAAGCACTTAGTGAAGAGCCACTGTCTTGTATAATGGAAGAGAATATCAGGAGGTCATGCTTGGGTTGAGAGGCGTTGCTCTCGTCCCTTTTCTAAATTTAATCTACATCAAAATAAGCAGTGCAGAACAGAACCTTAAAATATTTTAGTGAGCTGCACAAAGTTTTTTGACAATTGCTAATATTAGAGGTTTGTTGGCCATTTTTGTTCCATTTCTACCTGAAAAGTTTTGTCTTGTTTTCTCTTGGGTTGAATTATTACAATTGAATAGACATTAACCACTTAAAACATTGTGTGGAATAATAAAAACAACACCTTTTATGAGAAAATAAATGTCATGCTATAGCACTAATCTGTACCCATTGGCAGTAGTCCTGGATGTATCAGGTCATCCAAAAACAGACAACTGGTACTTTTATTTGTCCCACTTACAGCTGAAGGTCCAAACTCTTCAACTGTGTTTAAGTGTGTGTGCTTGTTAGTGTTGACAGTTTAATAGTTTATTGATTTAAAGTGCTTTGAGAGTCTAGAAAGAAAGGCAACATGCACTATAAGCAGCTGTTCAACTTGCCAAAAGTAGACCCTGGAAGATGATTGTCCTTCACAGTCCAGTGACCTGCTTTTAAATAGTGTTTTAATGGTAGGGTTTTTTTTCCCTTAAAAACTAAACTGAATTTATAAAGTTCTCCAATTCTTAACTGAATGAAAAGGACAATGGAGATTTGTTTGCCTGACCAGTCAGTCCCTTCTACATTCTGGTCAAATCCAGAATGGTCAGGAACTAGACAATAGAAGATGAAAATCCTATATCCAAACTTGAGACAGTCCAACCACGGCTACTAATTTGTAGCACGTGTCTCTCAATGCGAAAGACATCTTTTCTCAAAAATTCTTGCAACATTCAAAACAATGTATATAACTTCTTTTACCTCAGATAAATAATAGTTTGGTGTTTTGATTTTGCAAAAATCCATGCTGTTTCTTTGTCTTTTATATTCTTTTTTCGTCCAAGCAGACATGTTAGTTTTTAACTCAAATAGAGCATAAGTCTCTGATTGGTTAATCCACCCATCGGGGAGACAGAATACAGCTTCAGATCTACTCATCTTTCTAAAGTTTTATCAAAGCATTTGGTTCTGGTTCTGATCAAGTAAGAGATTTGTATGATGTCCTGCTGGCTCACAGTAACACTGTCTGACGTTGATGGATTTGATTGTATGCTAATAATGATAATGTTTATATTTGAATTTCGCCCAACAATCTTAATAATCCTTTGAGGGGCTACACCGCTGTCATAACTCATCCATTCGACACTCGATGGTTCCTTCTTGTAGCCGCGGCTGCCTTGGGGTAGACTGGTGGCCAATGTCTATATTCAGCCCTTCTACAATCACTCACCATCACACTCATAGGTGAAGTCTATTGCCAAAGGACAACAACATCATGCACGGTCCAGACTGGAATTGGTCGACTGACTTTCTTGTTGGTGAGTGAATTCTCTAACCACTCAGCCACCTGCTCTAAACTATTTGTTAGGACATTCTATTGCTTTGATGGGACAATTGTGTGCTTTGGCCTGAGCATGTATGCACAAACAGCATATGTTTTGGTGGAAGGACGTGGCCGCTCAGACAGAAAGTTAATGTGGAGTTTGATGCCCACAGGGGATGTGAGTTTGTGTTAATGGTCGGGGCAAGAGTGCTCAATACTGACACTGTTTACTAATGAGAGAGACACAGAAAACGCAGCTCTTCCATCTGTCAGCCC